TTCTCTCTCTCTCTCTCTCTCTCTCTCTCTCTCTCTCTCTCTCTCTCTCTCTTCCTCTCTCTCTCTCCCCCCCCTCTCTCTCTCCTGTGCATGTGTAGAGCCAGAGGTTAACCTAAGGTCTTGCTCCTCATCCATTCACCTTGCTTTTTAAAGACAGGATCTCACACTGGGACTCAGGCATCACTGAGTAGGCTAATTCCAAGTGTCTCCCTCTCTCAGCCTCCCTAGTACTGGGATTAAGATGCGCTTTGGCACTTTGTATGTGGGTTTCTGGTTTTGAACTCAAATTCTCATGCTTGTAAGCCCTTGATTGACTGAGCCACTTTTCTACCCCCTTCTTTCCCATTTCTGTTTCTTCATTTGTTGTGCGTAAGAAGCCCCTAGAATTCTGTCAGAAGTGCAGATTCTCTGGTCTCACTCCTGACCCACTGCCTGTCTGTGACACCCCACTCCAAAGGAAAGTCTGGTACACATGAGTCTGAGCGGCGCGGGTTCTGGTGTTGTCTTCTTACTGACTTTTGTCCTCCTGACTCTGTCTCCAATCATACTACAGGTGGACAAAGATCGAATGATCATACTAACAAACAAAGCCCTAAAGTTATAACATATAAAGCCAGTTAAGGTGGCATAATTTGTCATTCCAGCACCCGAGAGAAAGAAACATGGGGATCATTATTCCAAGGCCAGCCTGGGCTACATGAGATCATGTCTCAAATAAGAAGAAATAAAATTAAATAGCATGTATTAGAACATAGTACACTATCATAAGAAATTATACCCTCTGAGAATTCGGCTTTAAACACTCCATAAATTGTCTTCAAAGAAACGTGAACATTGATGTCAGATATTGTAACGAGGGCCAGCTTGTTGGGGTATCTGTTTGGCACAGTACCCCACAGCCAGCAAGTCCCAGAGAAAATCAACCACACAGAGATCTCTTTAAGTTATAAAGCTGATTGGCCCATTAGGTCAGGCTTCTTGTTAACTCTTATAACTTATGTTACCCCATTATCCTTATCTACATTAGCCACATGGCTCCGTACCTTTCTCAGCTGGGCAAGTTACATGCTGCCTCTTCAGTGGTCTGCACAGGAGTGGCTGAGGGAGCTTTCTCCTCCCTAGCCTTATCCTATTCTCATTGCCCCGCCTCTACTTCCTGTCTGGTTGACCCGCCTATACTTCCTGCCTGGCCAATCAGCGTTTTATTAAAATACATGCTTGACAGAATACAGATAATTCTCCCACACCAAGATATGTTGAGCTCAGGTTAGCAGCTCTTCAGGTCCAGGCCCCCCTAGCAGCAGAATCTTAGACAAGGCAGGCACACCTTTGGACACTGTGAATCACGGGTGGACAGATCAATGTTACAGGCGTGTCATGAAGATGAGGTGAGGCAGCTAGCAGGTGTGAGGTAGGCTGAGACACCCAGGGAACATCCGCAACCCACTCTCCACCCCATCTGCAATAAATCACAACAAAAATGCCCAGCCTGCACCTCACTCTTCTTCTTCTCCTCCCCCAAGACTTTCTCAAAGGGGAGACCCCGAGATCTGTCAAAGGCCAAGTTTTCTCTCAACCTGCTGTTGAGCAAAATGGCCAGCCTCTGACCCTGGGGTTAGAGTGTGCTCAGTCTAGGAACCCTTGATAAGGAAAGGTGATAAGGTATAATATAATATAAATACCTCGGCCCTGCCATGGTATCTAATGCTATCGTCAGTGTTGACGGAAGAGGGTGGAGGTGAATAGGAAGTTCAGAGAAAGGAGACTGCACATTTAAGAGTTTATCAGCATTCGCTCCAAACTAAACGATTCAACAGAAAGTAACACATACTTTATGAATGGAATCCAGTAATTCTGACCTCTGAGGAGGAGCAAAAGAATTTAAAAGATTTTTGACACTCTAGACTAAGGCTTCTAAAGATTTTCTCCACTCATGGCATCTTTTTGCCTGAGAAATTTTAACATAAACTCAAGTTTATAAAATAGGAATACAAGTCAAACATTCATTCATTGGTAGCAAATAATTAAGACATTTATCTCAAGATAGTTATTTGTTAAGAAAGAAAATTTGTGTTCTAATGAAATAAGACATTTTATCTATTTTTAAGTAAAGAATTAAATCTGGGTTGAGTATTTGACACAGACATTGTCTACAGTTCTCAGAATTTGTCTGCATTTTGACTTTATATTCACCAATTCACTACCTTTTTATAGGAACATGCAGTACAAAATGGCAGAAGAATGTTGGAGGCTATTTCAGAAATTGTTGGGAGGTTTATCTTACTCCCGAGTCAAAAGTCATATAATTATTTGTTATGGTATTCAGTCGGCAACTTAAGCATTATGTTGGCACATTTGTGAAAAGGAGATGCAGATACAGACAGACAGACGGACAGGAAACCAGAAGTTGACACTGATTGTCTTTCTCTATTGTAGCATCTCTCATTGCACCTGCAGCTCACCCTCTCAGACTGACTCCCAACGAGCACCAGGATCCACACATATCCTCCCATAGCACTAGGGCTATAGACTTGTATTGCCATGCCCAGCTTTACATAGGGGCTGGAGGTGCAAGTCCAGGCCCCCATGCTTAGAGAGTAGGACCTTGCCCGCTGATCCACAAACCCAGCACTTCAAGGAGCATTTTTAACACAATACAATCCTATACTAATATATTAATTGGATATTTACAATAATAGTAGGAAAATATCAAAAGTTCTTTTTCCATAATTAAATTATTGTTTCTACAAAAACAGAAAGCCTAGTATATACAATAAAAATATGACAATTCCTAACATATGATAGTCTAATGTTTTATCTAAGGCATTTCAGACAGTATGGGGACACACATATAGTGTTCATGGTCTGTGTTCAGAGTCTAGGCTGCAGTGATGTCACAGGGTACATTGCCGGGAACACCTCAGACTTACTCCACATTTGACTCTAAAAAATATTTTATCTTTGTTGGTTTCCCTTCTAGCAATTCTCATATTAATTTAAGAAATTGAAGTCTAGACAAAGATATCTCTTAAAATGTATTATTCCAGTCTATGGCAGGAATTTAAGATTTTTTTGACTTCCTAAAAGGCCCTATTTCAGGTTAGTAAATGGTTTATTTGCATACTGAGAGGAAATTGCTGCTCTCTTCTTTCTCAAGGTGAAGATGATGTTCTGAGGCAAAAAAAAAAAAAACCCTGAAAGCATGGAGACCTTAACCTCTGCTCAGAACCATTACTGTGGAATAATGGTCTTGTACCCTCTAAAGATTTGTCACTTGTATTGGTTTAATAAAATTCTGAGTGGCCAGTAGCCAGGCAGGAAGTAGGGGCAGGGTGGCCATAATAGAGCTCAGTCTGCAGTTATCATCCAGACACAGAGGGAGCAAGATGAGAATGTCTCACTGATAAAAAGTACCAAGCCACGTGGCTAACAGAGACAAGAATTATGGGTTAATGTAAGATATAAGAGTTAATAATAAGCCTGAGCTAATAGGACAACCAGTTTATAATTAATGTAAGTCTCTGTGTGTTTCTGTGGGACTGAACATCTGTGGGACTGGGCGGGACAGAAACCTCTGTCAACAAACCAACAAACCTGCAATCTGTAATTGAGTCTCCCAGGAAGTTCTTTCCTAAGGAGAAAATCTCTGGGATAGCAGAAAGCAGAACATCTAGGCCTTTGTAGTCTTGTGTCTTCATCCCTACCATGATCAGTTCATCACCAATTCAATCCCAGTTCTGAGACAATTCAGAGGGGAAGAAATAAGATGATTGTGTTGGAAAGAGTAAAGTCTAGGAGCCCCGAGGAGGTAGTGGAGATAAATACAGCCAGAAATTCTAGGGATACAGTAGGTTCCTATTTATATGATAAATCTAACCAGTCAGTAGTGAGTTTCTGAGTTTCACAATCGAGAATGGCATAATTGATTAGTCCTGTCTGTCCTGTTGGCAGGAGGTGGCCATGGGATCCATGTATCAAGCATTCACCAACTCTCTTCTAAATAGTAGGATCTCGGGTGATATTGGTGAGTCTACTGAATGCAATGTCTAACTACATTTGGGGAAAGAGTTACCTGTCGTAAATCACATGAGATCACTGCTGTCTAAAAGGGTTCCTGCTCATTCCTGTGCAAACTTGTAATTATTTTTTCAGTCCTTCTGCCCTTGGAGATAAGTTCCTTCCCTCACTTGATAAAAAAGAAAAGAAAAAATCTCTCACTATAAGAAATTGGAGTGTATATGTGGAAAGTGAATTTTCTTGTCAACGGGAAGTTGGTGATGCTTGGGGAAACCTAAACCTTTTTAGCCAACATAATCACAAAATCACAAAATGAAATTGTTAAAAAGAAATTTGTTTCTTTATTTAATTTTTGTGATGGAAGCATGTCTATTTTTTTGAGACTGGGTCTCACCACGTAGCTCTGAATGTCCTTGGATTCATTATGTTTAACAAGCTGTCCTTGAACTCACAGAGATCCACCTGCCTCTTCCTCCCAAATGCTAGGATTAAAGATGCGTACTACTATACCTGGCTCATGTTTATTTTTTAGATTGAAAATGAACTTTATATAACTTAATTTAGCAATATTCAAAGACTTAAAAAATGGGCATTTTCTAAACTGATAATCTGAAGCAGGCATAGTGAACCCAAGGGTG